CAATTGTAACAATCTAACGAAGGGGCCTATCACAAATCTAACAAACCATTCTTGCGGTTGAACACTCCGCTGATTTCATGTACCTTGACCAGACTGAAAATAACCATTATGATTGGATGGAAAACCAACACCACATTCATTACCGCGGCTACGAACACCATGTTGAAGTTAGGGCACCAAAAGGATGCAAAGGAAGTGAAGCAAAGCAGACTTATTAGAAATCCTAGGCGACATGTTAGTTTTGGCAGTAAGGGGTAGGTCACACAATTTCAAAAGGTGACATGCCGATGTGGCCAAACCGACTGGTCGGAAACCACAGAGAGCTCCTGTCAGTCTTTTGAGGCTAGCGATATGTCGAATTTTGTGCATGGTCCCTAATTCTGTCGTGTTTATACCTAATTTTAATGGGTTTTGCCCAATTTCTTTTATTGCTATGTTTCCTATTTCATGTAGACTTGTAACCCAAAAGCGTATTAGTATAAATAAGGCTTTTAGGGCTAGATCAAAGTGTGAGAGAGATCACAAGGGCATCAAATTTGATTAGAGCAAGGGTGTGAGAGAAATTAAGATCTACGGATCTTAAGAGTGAAAGGGGTTTTCTAGTAAACCTTGAGTATTCGTATTACGTACTAGTGAAATTTCTTAGGGTGATCACCAAAGAGGACGTAGGCACAATGCTGAACCTCTATAATTCTCGTGTTCGCAGATCCTGCATAAATTTTTGTGTTTTGTGTTTTTTTTTTGCTTTATTGCTTTGGTGTATGTTTGATTCTTCTTCAAGTTTGTGAGTGTTTTTTGTATAGTTCATCGATAACAAGGTCTTGAGTGTTTGAGATGGCAGACGACAAGAAGGCTAAAGAGATGAAGCCGAAGCAACCACATACGGGTAGCATGAAGATCGAGTTGAAGTCGTTCACCAGCAACCTCTCAACGTTGTCTTGTTAGGCAAGAGAAAAAGTCAAAAACCATAATATCTAATGAGTGGGACACGCTCGACGATTTGGTTAGGGGACCATCAAGAACTTCATCTCAGACGAGGTGTTGTTCAATATGACAAGAGACACCGTGAAGAAAGATGGGACAAGCTCGAATAGATGTTTGCACGAAAGTGACTATCAAACAAACTCTTCCTGAAAGAGGAACTTCTAAATCCTCGGATGGATGAGCGAGGAAATCTTATGTGGCATCTTTGCACCTTCAATAGGTGCATTTCGCACTTGCAGAGGATGGAAGTTATGTTGTTAACATCTTTACCTTCATCATATAGACACTTTCAAACAACGCTTATGTTCGGCAAAAGTACTCTTCAGTTGAAGGTCTAGTTCCAGGTGAAGACATTATCTCCCACCACCGGATGTCTCAACATCTGGAGAGAACTCTCCAGGTAAAGGTCTAGTTCCAAAGACCGGAGATAAGGGTCTCTTAAACAAGCGTGATGGCAAGAAAGACTGTGGTGAGAATTCTAAATCCAAGGACAATGATGGTTGCTTTAAGTGTAGATCCAAAGACCATTGGAAATAGAATTGTACGATATGGAAGGAGAAGAGGAACAATTTGAAGAGTGCTGAAACTTCAAGCGCATCCAACGTGTCTACTGGTGACACTAGTGATGAACTTTTGACGGTTATATATGAGTGTAACGGTGAAGTCATGGACAGTTCTTCGGGTAAGAGTTCTACCTTATTTTGGATTTTAGATTCCGATTGTTCATTTCATGTGTGTTCAAATAAAGTTGGTTTCATTTCGCTGAAGCTTTCAATACCCTCAAAGTGGATTATCACTTGATTAATCGGCACATTACACTTTTAATTATCTTCTCTGGCGATGTTGTCCAACCCATCGACAACATCAACTTGCCTATCACCATTGGTACATCATCAATTTGCCTATCGCCATCGTTGACTGTTCTATCGCTTACAATGTAATCTTAGGGCGCACAGTCTTGGCACAGATGTGCATCTTCATCTCCATACACAAGTTGATGATGACGTACTCTATGAGACAAAAATAGTAAGGGGTAACCAACTCAGCGCTCGCAATTGCTATCCTTTGGCTGGAAAACAAGCTCCACACTAATCTCATTGCCTTCATGCAACATAATGCCGAAGTATTTGTCTGGTCCTATAGTGACATGTTTGGTATATCCCATGAAGTCATCTCTTATCGGCTTAGGATTGAACCTGTTATACGACTCGTTCGACAAAAGCGATGAGCTTATGATCCTAAATGATATGAAGCCATGAAAACTGAAGTAAAGAAGCTCCATGGTATTGGCTTCATTAGAGAGGTTGATTACCCATCCTAGTTGGGCACACTAATCTCATTGCCTTCATGCAACATAATGCTGAAGTATTTGTCTGGTCCTATAGTGACATGTTTGGTATATCCCATGAAGTCATCTCTTATCGGCTTAGCATTGAACCTGTTATACGACTCGTTCGACAAAAGCGATGAGCTTATGATCCTAAATGATATGAAGCCATGAAAACCGAAGTAAAGAAGCTCCATGGTATTGGATTCATTAGAGAGGTTGATTACCCATCCTAGTTGGCCAATGTAATTCTTGTACGGAAGCTAAGAGCCGATTGGCGCATGTGTGTAGATTACACCGACCTTAATTGTGCTTGCTCGAGATATAACTTTCCCTTGCCATAGATTGATTAGCTTGTGGATGCTATGGCAGGCCAAGAGTTACTCAACTTCGTGGATGCTTACTCCGGCTACAATAAGATCTTCATGCATTCGACAGATCAGTCGCACACATCCTTCATCAACGATATGGGCCTGTACTGCAGATCAGGCACACACATACGTCATTGAAGCCAACCCTGAGTAAATCCAATCCATCCTGGATATGAAGGTGCCGAAAACAGTGAAGGACATCAAGAGCCTTACCGGACGTGTTGCCGCTCTTACCAAATTCATTTCTAAGGCTATCGATCGGTGTGCCCCATTCTTCAATGGTAACAAGCACAACATCGTCCAATGTCGGAAGCACTCCTATCTTCCACTGCTGTTAGCTCTGTCTTAAAATGAATCATAGATTCATAGCATACACAAGGGGCATTGGAATTTTGTAATCTCTAATAGTTGTAAATCAAATTGTTGAATTCAATTGACAATACAAACAACACTATTTATTGTGAAAGAATGATGTCTTCATATGTCCAAAAGAAAATTAATGCATAGTTCCCTGTATGACATAACATTCCATAGTTAAATTAAAATCAATACATGTTTTTATTTATTTATTGTTCATCAATTTTTGTAACTTAAAGAAATACTAACAATTAATTTGAGTACTCAAAATATGTTGGCTTATACACAACAGTAATAACATACAATGTGCAGTAGATGAGCAGAACATAAGAGAGCCTAGAGAACATGTTGTAAAGACCTCTTAAAACCTTTAAAAGGAAACATAATAGTTTTATCACAACTAAACTTGGAACATAATATAAAGTTTAGAGAAGACATTGTTAAAGCCTCTCTAGACCTAAAATTGTTTTCATCATCGTCTACAATGTTTCCATTTATGCATTTTCATCATGCTTTTGAATATGAATTGCCTTAGCTCATACCCGAACATTAATTAGACTAGCCTCTTTGCACGTGCTTCCACACATGCGAGAGGCCTTTTTAATCAAGCGGGCTATGCGCAACTTACAAAGTTTATTTTTTTATTTTTTGCAATTATATTTTGCTAGATGCTCGTCTTTAATGTTTTTATTTTATCACCCGTATTTTTCTAGATGTCCGTCTCAACTATTTTTTTCTTTCTTTTATTGTGCATAAACTATTGAGGCGGATATTTCGAAAAATATAGGCGACAAAAGGAAAACATTTACGGGCATCTAGCAAAATATAATTGCAAAAATAAAAAATAAAAATAAATTTGTAAGTTGCATGCAGCATGCGTGATTAAAAAAGGTATCTTGCACGTGCGGAAGTGCGTACAAAGAGCCTAGTATATATTATACGAATTGCCTCTTTTGAATATGCACCAAAAGAGTGCATTTGTTGAATATGCCTTGGATATGCATTTGTTGCATATGTTAAATTTAAGCCTGGCCCATACTTATTTAAACATTCCAAACCAGAAACTGCAGGTTTTCTCTTCCCAAAACCCTACACATATGTAGCATGGATACAGTTACGGGTACGCCGATACAGTTATGGTCATTAAAATAATACACATTTAAAAAATAATATAAATAATAAAAACTAATATTGCATGCATCATGTTACAGTCATCCATTCAGTTCAAAACATAAAACTAAAAACCTATGCAAAGGACCTACTAGTGTGTGAGTTTAGAATGCTATCGCCCATCTCAATAGGAAATGTCTTTAAAAAAAAAACTAAAACTAAAAACCAAAAAATACAAGTGACCAAATTAAATGCATTTTGATAACATATACATTTCAATACAATCATCCATCCTGTGAATCAAATGCATTTTGATAACAAAAAAAGGAATCAAATACATATAACCCAATACTAACAGCAGCTAGCTACAAAGAAAAAAAAGGGTTAGAGTTGATTGTGTGTAAGTCTGCATGTTTTGAAATAAAAAATAAAGGTTAACTAAGGTGGTTGGTGTGAGTGGTTCGGCACTCTCATTCCTTAAGAGAGGTCAGGGGTTCGATCCCTGCTCTCGTACGAAGTCACCACTTTGGCCAACACTTTACCCCTTACGGGCCGACCCGGTGTGAGTGGGGATTAGTCTGGGTTGTGGTTAAGGTTTAAAGGTGCCACCCATAGTTAGGGCCCATCCAGGACCACCTCATGGTTTAGACAAAAAAAAAAAATAAATAAATAAAAATAAAGGTTTTGCTGCTAAAAAATGTACAGCATAGTTTGCCCCAATTTTTTTTTTTTGCCCCTTAAAAAATGGGTTTGCTCTCTCAAAAAAGAAAAAAGAAAGAAAAGGTTTTATTCCTTAAAACGTGCGTTCCAACTTAAGTGAAATTGAAAGCCCAACAATGAGACGACGTCGTCTCAGAGAAAACCTAAAACAAACAAATACGCGCTCTCTTCTTCTTCCTCGCGCAGCAGCGCCGCTTCTTCGTCTTCCTCGCGCAGCAGAGCCTCACAGACGACGACGCTTCTTCATCTTCCTGCCCCACCGACTTCTCGCAGCAGCGCCGTATCGGGACCGTATATCGGAGACGTATCGGACGGTCAAACTTTCGGACGATACATAGCGGTATCGGATACGTATCGCACGCGTATCGCCGTATGCGATACGAGCATACCCCTCAAGACTAACGTATCGGTGGAACACAGCTACACACTCCCATGGGGACCCCAAAGAATATCAAGAAGAAGCAAACTCCAGAAAACCAATTCCACTCCTCCCTCACTCTCTGCTCGAAGCACAAAGACTTGCCCAGCGCAATCTCGCTATACGAATCCGCCGTCTCCCAAAAGACTCACTTCAACCACCACCACTTCAACACTCTCCTCTACCTCTGCTCAAACTCCGTCAGCGACCCCTCTCTGAAGCAATTGGCTTTGGACAATGGCTTCCGCGTCTTCGACCAAATGTTATCTATCGGAACCCTTCCGAACGAGGCCACGATCACCGCCGTGGCCCGGCTCGCCGCCGCCAAAGGGGACGGCGATTACGCATTTGGCCTGGTGAAGGGTATGGATAAGTATAATGTGTTGCCGAGGTTGCGCACGTGCGACCCGGCGCTGTTTTGCTTTTGTGAGAAATTGGAGGCGGAGAAGGCGTATGAGGTGGAGGAGCATATGGGTATGGTGGGGGTGAGCTTGGAGGAGCCGGAGATTGCGGCGTTGCTGAAGGTGAGTGCGGAGACGGGGAATGGGGAAAGGGTTTATGGTTATTTGCATAAGTTGAGGAATGTAGTGAGGTGTGTTGGGGAATCAACGGCTAAGATCATTGAGGATTGGTTTTTGGGTGGAGTGGCTTGTGAGCTGGGTGAAGCGAATTGGGATTCGGGTGGGGTGAAAGAGGCGGTTTTGAGGAATGGAGGAGGGTGGCATGGGCAGGGATGGATTGGGAAGGGGGTTTGGGATGTGCGGAGGGCCAATGCGGATATGAGCAGCAGCCAGTGTTGCTCTTGTGGTGAGCGTTTGGTTTGTGTTGACATTGATTGTGGGGAGACCCAGAGGTTTGCGGAGTCGGTTGCTGCTTTGGCAATGGAACGGGAGGTTAAGTCAAATTTCAGTGAGTTCCAGGTGAACCAAATATTTTGATTAGTCAAATTTGCCATGTTTTTGTTTTGCCAATTTGAATTTATGTAATGGACAGAGACTATAGTATCGCATTTGTTTTTAGATTTATAATGCGGATGTTCTGTTTTTGTTTGGGTTGCTGGTGACGGGATAGTGGATTTCATGGTTTCAAATTTGAGGAATTGAGAGCAGAGTTCAAGATTTCAGCAGATATGTATGAACATGTTATATTTTGATGCTGGTTCCCCTCAATGTATAAGGACATTCTTGTTTCTGATAGATAAGTTGGGATTTTAATAATAAAACATGCAGGAACTGGGATGCTTTCCTGTTTGTTAGGTTGTCATTTAGTGGTAGATTCATAGATTTACTATACTTGTAAATGTATAACAGGGTTTATGTGATTTTCGTAGTACTTTTCATTACCCCAAAATGACAGACTCACATCAGGTGTAACGATGACTAGTAGCCTTCCACACATTACTCAAAGTCATAACATTAATTAGACCTCTTTTATTGCCCCAACTAACTTCCTAAGCTCCCAAGGATGACCCTTTCCTAGGTACAGCAAAGTTTATAATTATTTGAAGCTTCTAGACCTCTAGACTTATGTGACTCCTTTTCTTGAAACTCTGTGAAGCATTTATTCATTCCTGTGGGCTGGGTATTATTTGAACTCCCAGCTTGGGCCTGCTGTACCATGGTCCCACCAGATCAATTGGGCTGAGTTTTCAATTTTTTCTTAGTCTGGTTATAAACTTTAATGTGGGCCTGATTGCCAATCAAGATGCTGCTGCATAATCTGTGGCGGTGTTTCTTTAATTTTTGATTGCATTGGCATTTAGTCTTGCACATTTGTTTTGCCTTGAAATGACAGAAATCAGAATTAATGAGGCGATTTAGAGTTGTTGAGGCTATGAAGAAGATTAAAGTAGCAAATCCAATGTTTTATGTGTTCAATTTGATTATATTTGGGTCAACGTTACTTTGCAAACATATTGTAATTCTTATTTTCCCCAATGTCTAATAAAGGATTGGCTGGACAAACATGCTGAGTATGAAGCTATAGTGGATGGAGCTAATATTGGGCTCTACCAGCAGAATTTTGCAGATGGTGGATTCAGTCTTTCTCAGGTTGTACATCTGAAGATGATTGTTGCTCTCTTATTTTGTCAATTTATACTTTTATTTGATAGGCCCTTTAGTCACGTTTAATCATGACTTATATTTCTGTTCTATATAGAGCAGCTTGATGCTGTTGTGAAAGAATTGTATAATAAGAGTGGAGAGAAATGGCCACTTGTTGTCATGCATAATAGACGTTTCCGGGGACTTGTGGAAAATCCTTCCCACAGAAAACTGATTGAGGAGTGGATGGATAAAGGCATTCTTTATGCCACACCAAGTGGTTCCAATGACGATTGGTATGAGCCTGTGATCCATTTCTTACTAAATGTTATTACTTGTTTCCTACGTTTATGTTGATGAACTATATCAGCTCCGCTGATTGTGCAAGCTTTTGGTTGAAAGTTTCTCTCTCTCTCTCTCTCTCTCTCTCTCTCTCTCTCTCTCCAGACTTTGGTTGCTCAAAACGGCAACACCAACAACATTCCCCGTTTAAGTGCTCTCTTAAAAAAACAAGAAAGAAACATGTACATGGAATATTTTGAGAAAAAAAACATGTATTTATGAAGTACCATTTCTCCCTCCAGTGGCCCGTGTGTTCATCACTTTAACATCACTACTGTATGCTTGGAATAAACAAATTAATTCTTTGATATGACTTAGGTATTGGCTCTATGCTGCTGTGAAGCTCAAGTGCTTGCTCGTTACAAATGATGAAATGCGAGATCACATTTTTGAACTCCTAGGAAGCAGCTTCTTTCTTAAGTGGAAAGACAGACACCAAGTATGTGTTCTTGGACGACCTCATTGAACATATTATTTCATATGTTCTAAACTTATTTATTGGTTTTTTCGTAGTTTTATTTCATTCCGCTCTTTCACACTCTCATCCAACGTATCAGTATAGATGCTATCCTCTTTTTAATTACATTTTAAAACCTAGAAAATAGTTATTTCCTAATATGGATGAGTTCACGTGGTTTTGCATGATGATATGAAACTCTTTGTATTGCTGTCATCTTTTTAGTTCTATTTTTTTTTTTTTTTAGTTCTATCAAAAACTGTATGTCCATCTCTATCATGACTTCATAGTTTGAGCTTTTTCATTTTCAGTGCTGGCACTTGTGAATATTCAGAAGTCTTAGGAGTGTCTAACCTTCCTTACCCATTCGAACCAATTGGATTCCGAGCCTCGGCATTTACGAATGGTGCATTTATGTGCATTTGGTTTAATCTAAACCATTACAACAGTCAAATGGTTAGACTTATTGCCACATGAGCTTCCTTGATTTTAATGCATTTTTATTTCCAACACTGAAGGTAATCAAGGTAGCTCATGTGGCAACAACTCTAACCATTGGATTGTTGTAATGGTTTAGATTAAACCAAATGCACATAAATGCACCATTTGTAAATTCAGAGGCTTGAGATCCGAATCAATCGGATCAGGTTGATTCTATGACTTGAGTAAGCTAGTACGAATAGCACCCCTTTTTACTTTCTTATATAGAGAAACAGTGGCTGTCAGTTCATTTCAGCAGAAGGAAGATTTTCCAGTTGCAGTTCTAATCCAAATTGTCAAACTTGTCGATTGCTTCTGTTGTATTGACATGAAACACTAAATTAGTGAGTTAGCGTTAACTGGTGCATTAGACGAATCCTAAAATCACATGACATGCTAACACAAAGTATAAACGGCCTGTGTGGATGGACCCTGTTGATGAGTCAAATCACTCGATAGAAAATTGAATGGAGTTTATTTAATAGTGGTGCATGCCTGAAGAGTTTGGTTTAGAGATAATAAGGTGAGGCTCAAGGTCTAAGTAAGTGTAAAGGCGGCCTCTCAGAAATTGAACTTTTTGTTGTTTTTTGGATTTCAGTTTTGATTTTTTAGTAAAAGATAGAAAGGAAATGCTCGGACAAAGAAGGGAGGAGGTAAGGGGAGGGATGGTGTGACAAAATGTATATGGAATGGCACCTAAAGTAAAAACCAAAAACTAAAAGCAACTTCAAATAGTTTTCTCATTCAAGTTTTTCTGTTACCTCTGACTATCTTTTTGCCTGCAACTCTTCCTCTCTAGAAAACATGCAGAGATGTTTTTTCCTTTTTATTTCCGTCTCTAGCCAGAGTTTTTGTGCTCCCCATATTCTACATTACCATATTTTTGTTCAATCTCAAAGGATGATAACAAGGGAAAATCCTTGTTATTGCGTTGGATATTTATTGTCAATGGAAAATAATGAAACTTGTATTAAACTTTTTGTAGAAAAGAATCACTCCTTATATTAAAAAGAAAAATTCCATTCCACCATAAAATCAACAAAATCAATACCACCAGATGTCTCTGCAAATTGGTTTTGTGATACGTTGGATGGTTTCTATTGATTTTAATCTTTTTAATATTTTTTGAAACCTGATTGAGTGGTCTATGGTTGCTTCAAATGTGAAATTGATCCATGCACACCTATCTTTTATGCTATAAGTTCTCATGCATCCTGTTGTACAGGTTCGATATACTTTTGTCAAAGGCAATCTGAAACTTCAGATGCCGCCCCTATATTCTTCAGTCATCCAGGTACTATTTTAATATTTCATATTGGTTCATTCTGATGGCATGTTCTAACTGTGACTTTCTTCCATTTCTATATATTCTGGTTTATCTAGTATGGTATAGAGCACTGTTCTTCTTCTTCAAAATAAAAAATGAAGGGAGGAAAAAGGACAGTGGCCCTGGCCATGCTGGGGCCCCTTTGCTAGGTGTGGAATTTGAGGGTGCAAATAGGAAATTAATGTGGGGACAAAAAACAGAAAATGTTGAATATAGAAATATATTACTTACGAAATAGATAAGTTCTTGTCAAATTGTACAAGATAAATCATTCAAGATATTTTGGAGAAACACTTGTATGGGTAAACCTAAAATCTAAAGAATGTTATGAAAACTCGGGTGATTCATATGCATGTTGCTTGGAATACATTTATAGAGTTTATCTTGCGTTGGATATAATGCTTCTAGGTGTCTATTTCTGTGATCATAATCTTTCTGTCATGCTAATGTGAAAGTTGTGACGACAACCATGTCTTTGTGCTCAAGCGGGAAGGAAATAGTTCTTTTGGTAAAGTTCGTTTAGTCTTCTATTGAGCATCAGTTAGATAATAGGAATATAGTTATCAATTACAGATAATGCTTTAATAAAATGGCCCCTTGGTTTAAGTGAACTTATGCCGGGCGTGAACTTTGTTATAGATGTCTATGATCCCTAAGTTCCCTCTAAAATGTCGCCTGAATCGTAAAATTCTGTATTAGTTTGCCTTTTTATCTGAGCTGTTTTGAGTGCTTAATGTTTCATTCAAATGTTCTTTAAATAAAAATTAGTTGTGTAATAAAATGATAATCTTCACGAGTTCGGGATTGTTTTAAATGTTCAAAGGCAGAGTGAGGCCTATAAGTGCATAAATTCTTAGTGGTGTTTAGTGTTCGTGTGAAGCTGATCCCTTTTACTTTATACTATAGAGTATTGAGGTGCCAATCTTTTTCAGGAATCAGAAATTGGATCCTGGCATGTGCCTGTAGCAGATGACAGCTGTCAGGAGCCTGCAAGAACCTGGCTCTGCATTACCCGGCCAAGTGTTTCTAAAGCTTCTGGTGAAGTCTCACATAATTTGGAAACATCTCAAAATGGCGGTGTCTGCAGGAACCTTGAATCCCTAAACTCATGTACGGCAGAGTTAGTTGCCAGTCACAATGAGAAAACCACAGTTGTGACAGGTAAAAGAAAAGAGAGGTCCCCATCTCCTTCCCAGCTAAATCTTTCTTCTGCCTAGTACTGTTTGCATGAGTCTATTTCCGTGCTGCTTGTGGAGATCATAACTTATGGAAATGGTTGTGTCTGAGTAATATGAGTCATGGACAAGCAAGATGGCCTGTTATGAGTTATGACAACGACCCCTCGCTGTAATACTCAAGTTTTCGGCCCAGTTTTCCCTTGTAGGGGTAGTGTCTCTGATGTTATACTGTATCACCAACATACTGCAAGCTTTGTTCCCTACGAAGTTTTGTAGATTTTGGCGCATTATTGATAGTGGACTTGATTGTTACGAATGTTAGGGCCAGGGTGTGATTTGAGTGAGAAATTGCAACAAAGCGGATTCATATTTCCTGCCCTCACTATTTGTTGAATAAATACTTTTTCTTTGGTTTGCTGAATAAAAGATTTTTTCTTTGGTTAATTGAATGAAGATCTATTTGTTCAAGGTTAGCCCTTCTTCTATCTTGTCATTTTTAACCCTGCGAGAAGAATTGAAGTTGTCGGCAGCTGTGTGTTAAGTGGTAAGATTCAGCTCAACTGAGATATGGGTTTCATTCAATTTTAAGGTCGCTGTGTGTTTAGAGCAATTCCACCAGTTGCCTTTAGCCATGGCAAGGAAGGGGGCTAGGGCAGCACTATTCACGTGAATAGTGGCTGCCCTTGCAAAAAGCAATGTTGGTTTCCACCAGTTGCCCTAATTTTGGGCAAATACTATTCATTTTTTTGTTTTTTTCACATATTTGTTTACCTAAACAATTAATTTAGACAATATTATTTTAAAAGATTTTTGGTGAGGGAAGTGAAAAATATGACTAAGTATTTATTTTTTAAAAATCTGAATTTTTTTTAATTTTTTTTGTTGCTGACGTCATCACTGACGTCAGCCCACCTAGTTTTGGATCTGGAGCTGAACCTGCCCTTGGGCCAGCCCTTCTTCGTGGCCCCCACATGAAACTCGGGCCAGCCTTAGCTGCTGGAGCCCATTTTTCTCCCAAAACCCCCCAGCCCGAGTTCAGCCTTAGCTGCTGGACTTGCTCTTAGGGTTTTTGTTCTTGGTGTAGGACATAAATTGCCTGATAGCTGTAACAAGCTCTCACAAAGTGTCAGACCCGCGGATAGCACTATTATTGATAATGCATGGTACATTTTTCCGTTAACATGCAGTGATATTATCGGGTACATTTTGTTGTTGATATATTAATGGCAGTGATATTATTGGGTACGTTTTGTTGTTGACATAGCATCGAATGCATTTATTTTATAAATATAACGGGTCCATAATCTGCAGAACAGTGATCTTATGTTTGAACCCAACAGTGATATTTAAGACAATGGGCAGCTGTGCTGAAAAAAAGAAAAGAAAAAAGTACATCAAAATTATAAAAATAAAAATTTATAGATGCATGTTAGATTGTGATTTGTCTTTAAAGAATAATAGTTTTCACCTTTTACGATGCACTAGGTTAGCTGACGAAGGAAACACTGGTCCAATCTACACCAGCCGCTCCCAAAATGATAGCCAATCAACCACCTCCATAACTATGTTTAAAAAGCAAAAAAATTTCTGCTAAAAAAAGAAACAAAACTTTTGTTTATACATAAAATGTTATTCACCATTTGAATTATAACCCCTTTTGCACCCGTTGTTTCTTTGGTGAGACTTCTTTGTGGTTAATATAAAGCAAAATGTCATTATTCGTCTCTGTAGTTTGTCTGTTTTATCACTTTGGTCTCCGTAGTTTCAATTATGTTAATTTTATGTAGTTTCAAATTCCTTGCAATTTAAGGACACTTTACAAATTCTATCAAATTCTTTCCAATGCCATCCAAATATACACCTCCACGTCAGTGACATGTACTTACCTAATCACAAATTTGAATGAAAATTTGGACATATCCTTGATTTGTGAGGACATCAAATTACAAGAGTCAAATTGCCAAAATTAAAACAACATAGTCGAAAGTGAAAAGTATAACAAACTAGAGGAAGCAAAATTAGTTTTTGCACATTAATAATGCCTATCTCCCACCCATGTGAAGAGAAACCTTATGTCTACATCAGTCTGCTCCATCTACTATCTACCCACTGTGTACGTATTCAATGTGTGCTTAGCAATAGTGCATATCCCAGAAGATATGTTTGATGAATAATGTATGCTCCCCTCATTTTCTCTCATGTTTAAGGCATACCTTACGGCTAGCTCACCTGCATGAATCTACTAAATTATAGGGACGGTGAACAACAAACAGAAACCCAACCACATGGCTCATGCATGTAGGTTAAAGTCATTCTAAAGAAAAAAAAAATTAAAAAAGGAAAAGAAAAAGTACAACCTTTATAAGTAGGCAAGCCTTTCTATATATATATATATATGCACTCTGATATTACCCAACCTATCCTTCAGATTTTCACAATGGAGTTGAAGAGTATACTAGGATATTTGCAGAACAAGACCATCTTAGTAACCGGAGCCACTGGCTTCCTTGGAATGGGTACATTAATTCCATCTCTCTCTCTCTCTCTCTCTCTCTCTCTCTCTCTCTCTCTCATAGTAACTTAATTTACAAATGCACATGCAGTATTTGTGGAGAAAATACTAAGGGTTCAACCAGATGTGAAAAAGCTTTATCTTCTTTTAAGAGCTTCGGACACCAAGTCAGCCACAGATCGCATGCATAATCAGGTTTATATATAAATACGTATTTCATAATAGCCAAATAATTTTAATGTATCTTGTAATGACGTACATTTTATTAATGTTTACTTATTTTTATATATATTAAGATAATAGGGAAGGAGTTGTTTAGCGTTCTTAGAGAGAAATGGGGTGCGGAGTTTGATTCTTTCATAGCAAAAAAAGTTGTGGCTGTACCAGGAGACGTAACTTTTGATGACCTAGGAGTGAAAGAGTTCAAGTTGAGAGAAGACATGTGCACTGACATTGAAATCATACTTAACTCTGCAGGAACCACAAATTTTGATGAAAGGTATATAGCTGTTATATAATATATGCATATAAATACTAAAACTACTCAAAAGAAACGTGTAATTACAATTTACCATAAATTTGGTTTGCAGATATGATATTGCACTGAGTGTCAATACATTTGGAGTTCAACACGTACTCAGCTTTGCAAAGAAATGTCTAAAGCTAGAGATGCTGCTCCACGTGTCAACTGGTTAGTGTTTGTTTTTCTTCTCTTAATTGGTTTCCCATGGCCTACAATGCTACCATACTACTATATATATATATAGCCGTTCCATATCCTAAACTTTATATGCTCAAATTTCATGTCAAAAAAGGAGAGGAGAAGAGTTATGTACTATTACAGCGTCCACAGCATGTTTTTTTCTTCTTTTTTTTTCTTTTCTAAGTTTCATCTTTATTTATCATCTCAGAATGTTTTTTCCTGGTCTCAATTTCCTTTGATTTGCTTCACTGATATGTTGATTGCTTTTCAGCTTATGTATGTGGTGAAAGGGATGGACTTATACTAGAGGACTCATCTTCATTTGTGCTTGGTTAATTTCTGTGTGTGTGTGTAAGACTCATCCATCATTGAGTTCTTTGTCTAAAGTCCATCAACAACAAGATCTTTAAGGGCAGTGAGTTAGTCATTAATTCACAACAGACTCATCTTGCATGGATGAGATGGAAAAGGAGATCACTAAATTTGATTTCAAAGTGCAAGAGAAGAATTTGGTGGAAGAGAAACTGAATGAACTAAAAGCACAAAATGCGACAGAAGAAGTTATTACAACCACGATGAAGGATTTTGGCATTGAAAGGTTTTTTCGAGCATCCATCCAACTGTGCCCTATAAAACCACAATCACGATTCTCAGTTTCGGACTTATTTTTCTCCAAATTTTATCAATAAGCCAAAAAAAAATAGAAGAAGTTATTTCTGCAGTTCTCTAGCTCTACCGATTCATTCATTGAATTGAGATAAAATCAGTGCCAAAATAATTTTTTTGCAGTGTGAAATTGTTGGTCTATTTTTCTCTGGGGCTTTTTACTAATATCTTTACAGAATTTTCTCATTATTATTTCTTATATTCTTTCAGGGCTAAATTGTATGGATGGCCAAACACGTACGTATTCACAAAGGCAATGGGAGAAATACTTCTAAGACACTCAAAAGATAATCTATCCGTCGTCATCATACGTCCTACTGTAGTCACCAGTACTTACAAAGAGCCATTTCCAGGTTGGGTCCAAGGTTTCAGGTATGAAGCTTGCAAAGCACTCTAAAATTTGACTAGATTTTACTCAGAAAACACTCATAACTCAGTTTGTTTGTTAACAAAATTATAAGCTTATTATGAGACACTGGAACTAATAAAATAGATCAGTGGTTAATTATATTTTTTCCAAAATTTTCAATTTTTCATTGGGGACTGGGAAAGAAAACAAAAGGCTACTAATTTTTTTATTTTTTTTATTTTTGGGGTAAAGAAAAGGCTAATCTTGTGCACTAATATAGGTCTCTGTGCAGATTCCAGACAAATTTAATGGTATAACTAAATTTCAACATATGTGCAATCTTTGTTGTTGTTGTTGCAGAACCATTGATAGCGTAATTGCTGGTTATTGTAAAGGAAAGGTGACATGTTTGCTTGTGGATCCTATGTCAGTATTTGATATGGTAAGTTCAAGTAAACTTCATGGTTCTCCAAATACTCACAGCTACAAGCACACAACGGAAAATATTTAAGTCACAACGCGCGATATCGTACTTACTATTCTTTTGAGCTTACTTCACAATGTAATTTTACAATCCAAACTATTGATTTTGAAATTATGCAGGTTCCTGTTGATATGGTGGTAAATTCAATAACTGTAGCAATGGTGGCAAATGCAAATAAATCGTCTAGTATCATTTACCATGTGGGAAGTTCTATGAGAAATCCTATCAATTTCCTTAATATTCACAGTTTTAGCTTCCGATACTTCACAAAAAATCCATGGATTGACAAGGATGGAAAGCCTGTCAAGGTTGGCAAGCTTAAATTCTTCAAGACTATGGCTACTTTTCGCATGTATATGCAAATTCGCTTCATGCTACCTTTGGAGGTTTGTAATTTCCGCCCATTAACAGTAATTACAAATTACATACGTATATATGTATATGTATATTCATATATATTACTTTAATTCTTATTTGAAGGGTTTAAAGTTCGTGAGCAAAGCATTTGGCGAATATTTCCAAGATCTGTATGTCAACTATAATCAGAAACTCAAATTGGTGATGCGCTTGGTAGAGCTATACGAGCCCTATATGCTATTCAAGGGCATGTACGTATGCATTATTTTGGCTGTCAATTAAACATAACTACTTTTATCAGTAATAATGCATTTAAGTTAATTACTTTGATTTAATGCAGCTTTGATGACAACAATGCCGAGGATCTGCGAAGGATAACAAGGGAGAGTTTCGTCGAATCGGAAACTTTCAATTTTGATCCAAAATGCATTGATTGGGAAGACTACATTATGCACACACACATACCTGGCCTCCAGAAACATGTTATGTTGAAACGATAATGGAGAGGTTCACGCATTAACTGTACTTGAACACAATATTCATATTGAAGTTTCTACATGGAGTTGAGCTAAACGCTGTTAGTCTCTTTCTCACTCAAAAATGATTACTAGAGAAGAGGACGTGGACAGTTGTATTGAAGAAGCATCATCCCTTGGCACATGCCTGTGCCAATTGATTTTTTTAAATTATTTATTTTATTTTAGAATAAAAAAAGATAATGGGTAGTTGTGTTCCATAAAAATAGGGCCCATTATCGGAATTTGTTTTTAATTTAAATTTTTTTAAATATATAAAAGTGTGAATTTACCATATTATCTTCATTTAATTAATAATTTCAATTCTTAATGTTTGTATTAACCAAGGACATTTTTTGGTATTTTGAATGTTTCACCATTTTTTTTTTTTTTTTTTTTTTTCAATTTATAAATTTAAAATTTATAAATGCACCAATCGGATCAGGTTGGTTCTATGACTTGAGTACGAATAGCACCCCTTTTTACTTTCTTATATAGAGAAACAGTGGCTGTCCCGGTAGAATACTTTATGAAATGAGCGGAGTAGCAGAAAATATAGCCAGAAGGGCAATTTCAATAGCGGCATCCAAAATGCCTATACGAACTCAATTCATTCTTTCGGGATAGGGATGTAGAAACAAAGGAAAGGGGTCTTTTGTATTAAAAAAAAAATTAAAAATTGCAGGTTTTTTGTTTTGAACAAATAATATATGACAATGGGTCGAATCGGGGGTGGGTATGACATTCCCATCCCCATCCCCGTTAAGCTTTTTTCCCCCATCCCCGCATTCATACCCACAATATTCATATCGGGGATTCCCCATCCCCACCTTTGTTGGGGAATGGGTTCCTCGACTCGCCCCATTACGGAAGAAAAAACCAATATATAACTACTTTGTTGAAAAAAAAAGAGTACTAATTCAAGATAATAAATATATATAATCTATATATATAAAGCAAAAGGCAGAGAATGGTGAAACATTCAAAATACCAGAAAATGCCATTGGTTAATGCAAACATTAAGAATTGAAATTATTAATTAAATGAGGATAATATGGTAAATTCATACTTTTTCATATTAAAAAAAATTAAAATTAAAAGAAAAATCAGATAATGGATCCTATTTTTATGGAACACAACTACTCATTATCTTTTTTACTTCTAAAATAAATTTAATTTTTTTAAAAAAAAGCCTCTCGCAAGCGCGGAAGCGCGTGTGGAGAGGCTAGTATATACTTATAAGTAGGCGTGGGTACGGTCCGGTTTGGTCCGATTTCACCCTCAAATCACAGCTGAACCAATTAAACTTTCACGGTCCGGTGTGGTTCGGTTTGAGCTAAAATCAAAATGAAAACCAAACCAAACCAAACCATTCATATCCGGTTTGGTGCAGTTTGGTTCGGCCGGTTTAAGCATAAAAGAAAACGTCTTACAATAACAAAGAACCTATTAACAAACATCCTAAAATAGAAACTGATACAGCTACATACATCAACATTTTCATGAAATAATCCAAATCTCCAATACATCAAACATGGAAAGTTAACCAAATTTCCAGTAAAACAAAGTTCAACATACAATCCCACATTTGCATACAAATAAAAATAAACTTCAATATCCAACTAATTAATACAAATCAAATTAGAATTTTCAAACACCAAAAAACGAAAAAACAATAAGCAGCATGTCTTCATTTCCATTCTCAATCACAAGAAATATGTAAAGGCCCCATAGCATTTGATTTCTTCATCTCTACATAAGAAACACAATCACAGATTTAGTTTCAACCATAATAAACACACAATTGAAAAAAAAAAAACAAACTTAAACCGTATTTCCCCTATTTTATTATTATTGTTTCTATTTTTCTTAAAGTTCTTTTGGTTTCAGGTTTATACAAGATTCAAAAGGAAGATAATTTTCCCTTGAATTGACAAACCAACAAAAGAAGTCTCCAG